TGAAATATGCCAGCATTATGACTACATCATCCCCTGCGGCTTGATTATGCAACTTCCAAGGCTGTTATCTGGCTTCCAAGGCTCATGGTATTGAGCTGTGCACTTTTCAGATGCTTCTTAGACATCCAGGAATGAGCTCGGAGCTTCCAGAATGCTTCCAACATGTGCCATGTCTCTAGCTCACCCCATTGTGCCTCCAAGCCATTGTTCTATTGTTCTCCATTGTTCTTATTTATTGTCTTGGCTGAGTTATCTATTACATAATCATAGTATGTTATTCTACATGGCATAAATACCCATGTACAGTAGTTGATTCCTCAGTCAGAATATCAAACTTGCCCCATTGCTTAGAGTGCAGAAGAATTAATAAAAGAATAAATGGGACAGCTAAAGATATGAGACAAAAATGAACTCGTAATTGCCATGCAAAGCAATGGCCCACAATACCAAGTGAACCAGGATGGACAACCCATGTAGGAGATGAGCGACCATATTTCATTCCGCATGTGCTTTTTGCTAGCCAGTGAGCCTTCAACATGTCCGCCTACACAGTCCAGGTCATTAATAAGCTGAAAGCAAGCCTTCTTGGCCTCTGATTCTGGTTTGACTCTCTCGCCTTGAGACAACCGCTGACTGATATTGGTCAAGATAGATGGATCGATGCGTAAAAGCTGGTCAGCAACTTCAGGAAAGAAAGCCTTGTCTGCTGTGAGATAGCTGCCTTGTGAACTCTGCTGAATTTGCTCCTGATTGAATGCTATGAGAGGGAAGTTGGGATCAAGCTGGAAGCACTTGTCATGATATAACAACATGTGCCGTTTCTGAGTTAACTGAGAGTCTTTGCCTTTAAGACAAATCTGGCCAATACCGCCATAACCATATGGAAAAAGCCATGGCATCATTGAGGGAAATAGCTGAGGGTTGTTGAACAAGCTGAGAGGATTCTTTGAATGCCCAACAAACATGATATGTCCATTTTTAAGTAGATGTTCCAAGGCATGTGCCTTTATTGCATCAATTGACATATTTGAATACTGCTCTCCTGTCAAGCCTTGCACAGTGAACAAGCATGGACCAGTTTCAACACCGTCCTCTTCTTCATTGTCATGTACACTAGTGGCTTCTTGATCTTTGTTGATAACAGACTCGCGAAAGTCAATGACAACAGGAGTATCATGTTCAGGATATTTGCTCAGATTTTGCAGAGACATGTTGATATCACTATAGTCCAAATGGTTTAGCTTGAGCCACTCTAGAGCTTCAGCTACATGGTTCCGACGTACTAGAAGTGGCGTGCGTTCAATATCCTGCTTTGTAGGCTTGCATGGACAGGCGGCTTCGGCTGCCATCATCTACAAGAGACACCGCGAGCTTGAAAGGACTCGCTATGTCTCTGGCAGGGTTACCGCCCCAGATGCGGAACTCAATGCCATTTCGTGCGCAGTGCGCCTTGCTGTTAAGCAGGCAAACTGCCAACATATTATGGTCTTTACTGACTCTATAGGCTCAGCCCGTAGAGCGGTTGACCCCGGCGTGCACTCTGGTCAGGCTTTCAGCTTGTCAGTTTGTCGCACTCTTCAAGGGTGGTTTGAGGCAGATGATCTCCGCTGCATTACCTTTGTCTACGTCCCATCCGCTCTGCGGTGGGATATCCATGGTGAAGCACACAAGTACGTCACCGAACTTAAAGTCAGGGTTGGACGTCGCAAGACGGACAACTCTATAGACACGCTACACTCCCAAGCGGCGCACTCAGTCCTGGATTCGTGGAGCTCCACTTTCCAGGATCCAACTTACCGAGGCTCTGAATTCTTCGAGCTTCAACAGCCTGACAGGCAGCCGCTACAGCCATCGTACCTCAATGGGGGACCTTGGCTTTCAACATTCAGACACAGTATCACTGAGTTCGCTCACGTTTGCCAGTGTATAACTGGCCACGCGCCCATTGGAGCGTATTACCGTCGCTTCAAGATCAACGAGCCTCACGGCTGCACTTGCGGGGCTGCTTTGCAGTCCTGTCAGCATATTCTCTTTCGCTGTCGCGATCGCTACTCCGTGCATTACCCCCGCTTTCTTGGGGATATTGCATCTTTTATGAAGTACAACCCCACGGCGTTTGGCTTCAACCGGGACCCTTCGGGTGTCAGATAATCATGGTAGGCGGGGTTGTTCCTCCTTTTGGGGGATTTATGGTGAATTGACACCACCGAGCCCTAGGGTTCGAAGACCTGCACCTACCGCTATTTCTTCGCGCTTGCGGCCGCTATTGTAGCGGGTGCGGCGCCGCTAACTTTCTGCGTCTGGTTTCGGGCAGGCGCTTCTCTGGCTAGTCGGCCTCAAGGCACCCTGCCACCTCCCGGGTGGTGCTGTTCTTATTTCATTTGCGCTGCGTGGCCTCCGAACAGTGTTCGACGGCTTTGGGGTTTAGCGGGGCCTTGATGGTCTCTTCCCCTTATCCCGCGTCACCGTTTTCGCGAGGTGGGTCTGGCTTTGTGGGAGTTTCGGCGTTTGAGCCACAAGGCTTGTGGTTGGGGGGGCGGATGTCCTTTAGTGGTTAACTTAGTAACTAGGCTGCATAGCGTACGTGTTTGTAGATAGCGAGCGGGCTGCCATCGAGCACTGCTATATAAATTGTTGATAAAAAAAAAAAAAAAAAAAAAATAGGCTTGCATGGACCTGTGAATATAAATGCTAATACCTCATCAAGATCTGCAACTGGAGGAGGAAGAGTATTGTATATCTTGGGTGTTGGATTCTGGAAGATAATAGCGTTAGCTCGCATTTTGTATCTACCAGAGGCAACTTTAACAATGCAGCGGTTGTGGCGCACTCAGGAAATGAGCAGTTTTTCAACATAGGTAAGACGCAACAGCACATGGGGCACCTTTCCAATCCAGTAGCCATTTGCCAGTGCTGCAGGTGGTACTTTCCCTTTCTTAAGCAGTTTGCAACAGCCTTGGCATATGTGCTTACAGTCTGGATCAATAACTGGACCAGGAATGTCTTGAATTGGATCTGTCGTGGACTTTCTTTCAAGACGTGTTACGTTAGGAAGGTAAAGTGGATTGAGCGATATCCGAGCATCTGCAAGTAATTTGAGCTGTTTTATGGGTTTCAAAAGGCCACAAACTGTACAGCCTGCTTCAATAAATTTCTCTAGGCTGGTGTCAGCCACAAAGTCTGAAATGATGCGCTGCATCAAGGTATGTGAAGGAGGAGGAGGAGGAAACGAACCATGATCTCTATTTATACATTGTGGCTTCTCAGTTTTTAAAATATTCTTCTTCTTTCTGTCATGATAATTCTGCTGGCGTTGGCTATTAGAGCAATCAGATATTGATTTCCAAACTGAAACCAAGTCAAAACATTGCAGACCGCAGGTGTGTTGTTCAATCTGCTTAAGAAATTCTGATCGCTTGTACTTTGGATCACCTTGTATGTTATGGAGTTGAGCAATATTTTTGAGTTGATCTAAATTGAGAAAAGATGAGATGAGTTGGAGAGGAATCCGGCAAATTAACGTACTGTCATCGGATGCTATTGATGTATGGTCTTTATAAGGTGTTTGAGTCACAAATGTGAATTTAGCACTAGAAGAAAACCTAGATAAGTGATCCTTAGAAAGTGCATAATTTTGAAGATTCTGGAGTGAAGCATACTTAACTCCTCCTGCACATTGATCAGGAACAGCTAAGCATTCAAATTCAGCTTCATGAGAGCAGAATTTATTCTGTTGAATCTGTATATAGTTTAGCACATATACGATAGATGGTAAACAAGAAGAAAAAGGTGCAATATAGCAGAATGAATGTGCTGGAATCCTGGAAAGCACTGGCCAGTAAATGGTGGCTATAGCAGTATAGCGGTGCTTTAGTGTGATGTGTTGAAGAAATAGAAGGTAGATGTGATAGCAAAGTTGCTCTGGAGTGCGCCATAATGAAGAAGTAGAAAACATGGCCATAGATCTAATGCATTGAGTTGTTGAGAATAGAATAGCAGATGTTATCTTGAACAAAAATTGCCCAAGCAGAGCAAAGCTGGTATAAGTTGGTGTATGACTCTTTTTATAAATTCTAAATAAAATGCCTGGATTGCTGCCAATCTCCAACTCATGATTAAACTCAGTTTCTAACTCTAAACTCTGGTGAGTAGCTGAAGAAATGCAAGTCAGTCATAATAATCAATAATGGTTCTGGTGCTCACATGAACATGTAGGTTGAGGCTCTTGATACACCAATGCAATAGCCACTGAGTTATTAAACTCTGTCCATGTTGTTGTAGAAGAGGAAAGTGCAGAAGGCCCTGGATCTATAGTTCAAGTTAGATGATACAAGTATTCAAAAGAGATTCAAAATTTTACCTAGTTTGCACTCTGAGTTATATATCTCAAGAGGAGCAGTTAAAATGAGAAGAGAGAGCAGAAGTGTTGAAAGCATTAGTGGGATGCTGAGGTACAAGAGCAAGCCTTGAAAGTTGCCAAATGAAATTGAAACTCAAGTTCAACATGTCATGTGACCGTGTTCTGATGTTATTTCTAATCTGGATATGTTATTCTATACATGGATATGCTGAGCCTCATCAATCGACTTAACAAGAAATATTATCAAGAAATTGAAAACATCTAGACACTATGGTGCTTTTAATGGTGCTATGCCATGCAGAATTAATCAGAGGTTGGTCAATCTGGTTTCTATAAGTCAAGTACTTGTTCTCAAGCAGATCATTCCAGCGACTGTAATTTTGACCGCTATTTTCAAATTCTCGAGGTCGTGGAAACCAAGACACCAATTTCTCTTCATACTCTATTAAGATGCAAGTAATTTTAGCAAATAAACTCTAAGAATTTTTTTGAAAAATCTCACCAATAACTTCTCCATCTTCAAGTTCATCATTCTCATTAAGGATTGGTGTTGTTAACAGAGTATAAGCACCACAAAGAATGTTCTCCTCTTCATGTGTCAGATTATCGTCAATGTACTCCAGCTTTGATTCCATGATATATGCATGAAAGTTGGTACCATCGTCTGATAATCCTGATGGTCCCAAAAGAACATGGTCAAATGAAGCATAAGGTGTCCCAACTCTCCAGAGATAACTGCCTCTCATAAGAGCAGCTCAACCACTATATGGCTTGGACATGATTTCAGCACAGAGACTGAGGTAAGAGTTGAAGTCGGCTTTAGTAAAGGTGTGATCGAGTCGATATGGGTACTTGAAATGAGGATAATAACAATTAGGATGCTGACAAAGAGTCTCCTTCAATTGCAAAGTACGGAAGGGAATGCCATGATTGAGAAGAAAGCGAATGACGGTAAACTTATCGAAAAGATGATTGCAAATAGGATACAGTTTGACGCTGTCAAGCATGATATCTTCCATCCAAACCAACTTGGCGGCATCCGCCAGAGGTCAACTGAGGATGCTGGATTGATTCTGACTCATCTCGTGCGAGCGGGGTGGGTTAAGGGTCTCCAGACTAGTGCGCTGGCTTTTGACATCGCGCAGTTCTTCCCTTCTATCAACCATGAAATGTTCATGGCTGTACTTCGCAAGCAAGGGTTCTCGCCGGTTCTGGTGGAATTCTTTTTTTTTTTTTTTTTTTTTTTTTTTTTTTTTTTTTTTTTTCAACAATTTATATAGCGGTGCTCGATGGCAGCCCGCTCGCTATCTACAAACACGTACGCTACGCAGCCTGGGTACTAAGTAAACCACTAAAGGACGTCCGCCCCCCCAACCACGAGCCTTATGGCTCAGACGCCGAAACTCCCATAAAGCCAGACCCACCTCGCGAAAACGGTGACATGGGATAAGGGGAAGAGACCATCGAGGCCCCGCTAAACCCCAGAGTCGTCGAACGCTGTTCGGAGGCCACGCAGCGCAAATGAGATAAGAGTAGCACCACCCGGGAGGTGGCAGGGTGTCTTAAGGCCGACAAGCCAGAGATGCGCCTGCCCGAAACCAGACGCAGAAAGTTAGCGGCGCCGCAACCCGCTACAATAGCGGCCGCAAGCGCGAAGAAATAGCGGCGCCTGCCCGAAACCAGACGCAGAAAGTTAGCGGCGCCGCAACCCGCTACAATAGCGGCCGCAAGCGCGAAGAAATAGCGGTAGGCGCAGGTCTTCGAACCCTAGAGCTCGGTGGTGTCAATTCACCATAAATCCCCCGAAAGGAGGAACAACCCCACCCACAACGATTATCCGACACCCGAGGGGTCCCGGTTGAAGCCAAACGCTGTGGGGTTGTACTTCATAAACGATGCAATATCCCCGAGAAACCGGGGATAGTGTACAGAATATCTATCGCGACAGCGAAAGAGGATATGCTGGCGGGACTGCAAAGCAGCCCCGCAAGTGCAGCCGTGAGGCTCGTTGATCTTGAAGCGACGATAATACGCTCCAATGGGCGCGTGGCCAGTAATACACCGGCAGACGCGGGCGAACTCAGTAATACTGTGTCCGAATGTTGAGAGCCAAGGTCCCCCATTGAGGTACGATGGCTGTAGCGGCCGCCCGTCAGGCTGTTGAAGCTCTAAAAATTCAGAGCCTCGGTAGGTTGGATCTTGGAAAGTGGAACTCCACGAATCCAAGACTGAGTGCGCCGCTCGAGAACGTAGCGCGTCTATGGAGTTGTCCGTCTTACGACGTCCAACCCTGACTTTGAGCTCTGTGACGTACTTGTGTGCCTCACCATGGATGTCCCACCGCAGAGCAGAAGGGACGTACACGAAGGTTACGCGACGGAGATCGTCCGCCTCAAACCACTCTTTAAGAACGCGACAAACTGACAGGCTGAAAGCCTGACCAGAATGCACGCCGGGGTCGACCGCTCTATGGGCTGAGCCCATAGAGTCAGTAGACCATAATATGTTGGCAGTTTGCCTGCTTGACAGCAAGGCGCACTGCGCACGAGATGGCATTGAGTTCCGCATCTGGGGCGGTAACTCTGCCAGAGACATAGCGAGTCCTCTCGAGCTCGCGATGTCCCTTGTAGATTATAGCAGCCGAAGCCACCTGATACTGGTTGGACTGAGGGACAGAGCCATCAGTTGCAGCCAGTACTGTTAGTGAGTCGGCCCTTGCTTTCGCGAGCTCGTATATGGGCGCCTATCCTGGCCAGGATCACGCTCGTCAAAATGGAGACGGTCCGCATAGCGGTCCAGTAACCGGTCGCCTGGACGAGCTTCGGGCGCAAAGGGCTCGAAGCTCTCAGTTAGAGTGTGGACGCGCTCGTCCACTTCCATGACAGTGCTCTTGACTTTCCCCCGCATGGCTGGGGTCATCAAGGCTGCAGAGCGAGCGTGTGGTGCAGCTCGCTTGAGGAGTCCCTCGCCCATCATAGAGCGGAGGGGGTGAGTGTCTGAGAGGGTAGCGATGCGATACACTGCGCGCGTCGCCAACTTCTTCAGCATGAGATGGACGGGGATGAGGCCAGCGAGGGCCTCAAGACCGCCTGTGGGTGAGGTGCGGAATGCACCCGTGATCCATAGAGCAGCTTTTCGCTGCATCCGTTTTAGCTGGTTCATCGCGCCCTTATTGCGGGCGCCATCAAAATACCAGAGACGATAACCGTATGTGGCAATAGGGACCACACACGATCGATATAAGAGGCGACGCTGTTTAGGCGATAGACCTCTAGTAGAGTTCCCGAGCATGCGCATGCTTGCACGGTGGTGAACGCCTTGGTGGCGTAGTAGCGAACGTGCTCATGGAACGTGAGCCCGCGGTCAAAGTAGAAGCCCAAGTACCTCCAATAGGTCTTAGGTTTCAAAGGTGTGGCACCGGTATGAGGGGCGTACCCCAAATCCAGCGAGGGATTGTAAGCGTCTCGGCGACGCGAAAAGTGAAACAGCTCGGTCTTGTCGTGTTCAAGAACGAGCGTGAAAGCAACAAAGAGAAGGTAGATAATTTTGTAGGCCTTACGCAGGCCCACATTATTATCATCAAGTTGTTTCGATTGGGCCAGAATGGTCCCATCATCCACAAAAGACAGCAGCGTCATGTTGAGCGGCGCCGCTTTGATGTAGAAGAGCTTCATTACCGGAGCGATGAACAGCCCAGAGATAACAGGCGAGAGAGCAGAGCCCTGCCCGACACCCACGTCCGCGGACCGTGAGTCGGATTGGAAGGTGTTCCAACAGTAAACTGTGGACCGGCCTACAAGGTAAGAGGCAAAGAATTCCACCAAAACAGGCGAAAACCCTTGCTTGCGAAGAACAGCCATGAACATCTCATGGTTGATAGAAGGGAAGAACTGCGCGATGTCAAAAGCCAGCGCGCTAGTCTGGAGACCCTTAACCCACCCCGCTCGCACGAGATGGGTCAGAATCAATCCAGCATCCTCAGTTGACCTCTGGCGGATACCGCCAAGTTGGTTAGGATGGAAGATATCATGCTTGACGGCGTCAAACTGTATCCTATTGGCAATCATCTTTTCGATAAGTTTACCGAAAGTGATGAGGAGTACGATTGGCCTGAAGGCCTTCGGGACGGAATAGGAGGGCTTGTTCAGCTTCGGAACGATAACCGATAGCGACTCCTTGAATATACGTGGCCAATGACCCACCCGAAGGCAAGCATTGGCCAACACGATGAAGAGCGCAAGGACGTGTTTATCCTTGAGCATGGTCCGGTCCTGGTGCAGAGGAGTTGGAGCACCCCTTAAGGGCACTCAACAACTCATGCTCCGAAAAGTCAGCCCACTCACGGACTGGCTCATCAGGAAGCTCGTCTAATACTGAGGCGTCGTACTCGCGACCAGAGGCCGAGTTGTACGTGCCGTGTAGGGCGTCCCAAAGGTCGTCCATATCGTGGCAGGGCTGGTCGTCATTGCGAATAGCCTCACAGGGTGGTAGCTTGCGCTGTTTGACCCATTCCATTAGGTCCCATGGGCGCTTGCGAGAGGTAGCGATTTCTGCGATGCGT